AGATAGTGTCATAATAGATTGAAACAGATGCTAACTGAAGTGCAAAACTTAGTTGGATACAGATCCTTGATTATAAGATATACTGAAAATCACAATAAAAACATTCTGTTTAAAATTCTTCCAATCCATCGTTTGCATTTTGTAATTATATGCTAAAATAACTGGGAGTAGCACTATTTGTTATTCTTGCTATTTAACATCCTTTACTAAAATATACATGTCTAATTTCCTCTCTACTGAGTCTTAATAATTGTTAGTCTTAGGTAAAGCTACAATTAATGGAGTATGTGCCTCTGATGTGGTAAACAATTTTTTATTTGCCAAAAGTAATTTTTAAAAATTCCAGGTTTTCACAATTTTTACTCTTCCTCTATAGAGGGTGTTTCTCCGTGGCAGTTTTAGGGGACTGTCAAGCAGCTCTCAACTAATGAACAATCAATTAATGAACAATCAAAGATAAACATAAGAAATGAGACATTTAAAAATGCAGTTTTTCCTGAAAATATTTTCATATCACAAATATGTATTTGAAATCTCAGAAAGTTAGCCATGTTCTTTTGCCCAGTAGCTAACACAGTATTATTGTACACATACTAGGTACTCAATCAACACTTGTTAAGAAACGAGTTAAAGTCAATTATTTGTTCATGGTTTTAGCTAGTTGCTTAATCTATAATAGTTCAGTGATTAATTGTTGTCTTTTAAAGACCATTTATTAATTAACAGGATCATGTGGCCATAATAATCTTCTTTTACATCAAACAAAAGATAGTCTAAGTTCAATTTTCAGATTTTCACACAAACGTATACACAGCTAATTAATAAATCTCTCAAATCATGTGATTTCCTCTGCAAACTCTCCAGTGACTATTCCTCTCACTCTACCATCAAGTCATAACTATTGATGGTCTGATAACCTTCATTATCTGCCCCAGTCTACACACCATCAAAGATCATGTCTTTGACAGTATCTCCTACTACTCCAGTCCTCCCTTACTCCTGCTCCAGTCTCCTGCTTCTCCTCACTGGCTCCTTTAGAAAGCCCTCTAAAACAGGAGCCTCTTTATACCTCAGGGCATTTGCGCTACCTGTTTTGGCTATCTGGAATGCTCTTTCTCCAAATATGTACAAAGCTCTCTCCCACATCTCCTTCAAATCTTTATTCAAAGAATATTTTCTCATTTTCTGATCATCAGATTTAAAACTGCAAGCTTATCTCCCCAACTCCCCACCAAGTATATAAACCTTTGTCTTTATTTTTCCTACAACACCGTTGTTTTCTTATTCCCTTTATTAGTAGATAAACCCCTGATGGAAGGACTTTTGCATGTTCTAGTAACATTTTTATTCAAACACGTAGAGCAGAACCTAGTGCAAAGTGGGTGCACAGTGAATATTTGCTAAGTACAAGAAAATCTCCATCCTAAGACTGCCAAAATAAAGTAATGATAGCATGACGACATTTATTTTCACTCGCTTTGAATCATTTGGATGAGTAGTAGTGCCATATATTTAGTATTAATAGGGATTTAAAAACAAAGGGTCCAGATGGTCAGATATCATAATGAAAAGCATATAGAAATGTGTTTTGAATTTGTGCCAATTTGGCAACAACATCTGAGCAGCTTCATCAGTCTGTATTCTTTACAGATTTTCTGTTATCTCCCTAAATAGTCTATGGATGCTACTTACAGAAAAAAAAAAAATTGAAAAAACAGTTTTCAGAATTTTAAAAATTGTTTGGTGTATGTATCTCTGAGCTTACAGCCAATTCAATTATGTGTGACCCACTTTTTTCATTAGAATTTCCATTGATATGCATATAAATGATCTCATTCTATTTAAAGGTCATGATCTTCAAAAATCAGTTTGAATGCTGCTTCATAACAGTAGTAAAAAATACAATACCTAAACTTGGAAATGTTCTGTTAAATCATGAGATATAGAAAATATATAGATCGAGGACAGTGTCTATCCACTTACAGAAATGTTTGCTATTTTAAACAGCATAGAATTTTAGAAGAGATTTGAAAATTTTTTCCTAATAAGAAAAGAAGGAGATGGGTTAACCAGGAAAGACATTGAAGAATAATTCCTCAATGAATTGGACATTGAAGACGCTAATATTTTTAACTTTAAAGAAGTTTGAGTTTTGCAACATTGTAAATGGTGTGTAATGACAAGAAATGTAGGAGAAAGGAAATTTGCTCCCATCAACACTGTAAAGATTTTGAAGAAAGTTTATTTCATCAGTAAAACTTCAGTGGTAAATAGGATGAAATCATCTGATAGAAATCATTTAAGAAAGGAAATTTTTATTCCACTCTTATGTCTGTAGTAGGCTTTTATTTTTTAAAGTAAGACAATCTGTTTTTAAATGCTTGCTTTCTGAAAGCAGTAATTTGCCAATATTGCCTGATATAGAACAATTATAGCAAAATATCTAAGATCCAAAAAAATTGCAGGCTTGATTTGGAAAAGTGCAGTGAATTTTTCAGTTTTCTGGAAAAATAAAGAACAGAGCCGATTAAGATAATAAAAAATCTATCTGACCACAAACCATTGCTTCCTTTTATTTATTCCTTTACATACTAAATACTAAATGCATACTAAATGCCCAAGGGTACATTAAGTACTCTTTATATCAATTTACATCAATTTTATATTACATTTAAGCAATAACCCTGAATAGTTGATTTTATATGGAGAAAAGGCTTATAGCTGTCAGAGAATAAAACTAAGCTGTTTTTTACTTACTGAGCAAGGGAGTGCTGTGACGCGAGAAAGTTAAGAAAGTTTTCTTGATAACCGCAAAAAAAAAGGACTGAGTTATTTTTATTAAGAGGGGTGCCATACCTGCTCACCATCATACAGGGAGAAGGTATTGGATCCGAGAGTTGATCCAGGTAGTGTAGTCTGGCTTCAAAACTATGCTCCTACCATCTGTTGTTCCTGAGACATTGCTGATGCCAAAAGGCTTGGGGTACAGAAGGAAGAGGAACTATATACAACCTTACTTCTAACCACAAAGCCTATGTATATGTTCATCAAATAAACTTCCTATAACTTTGCAATAAAATTAACGCTTTGTTACCTGTGGATTTTTATACATGTTGAAAATTTATAGATATATCTCTCCGTGTTGGTGACTCATCCAACTGAAAGTGGATTACTTCTCTTTCAACAGGACGTCTCTAAGGAGCCATAGCAGTAAGGATAGGTGCCCCTACTCAGGAAAACTTATTTGTATACAGCAGTCTGGCTGTTGGCCTTATCTGCATATTTTAAAACCTTAGCTTTATTCACTGTGGCAAAATGCATTTTGAAAGTACTTCTGTTATTTGAAGCTGTTCTTATATTTTTTATAGTTTTTATAGTTTTTAGGTATGTGGTTCCATTCATAAGTGGAATTTACAATAACCTGTGGTAGTGATGATTTATTAAATATAGAATAAAATGAAATCTTTTTATTGCCACAAATATAAACATCTGAAGTGCCTACCTGAGAATGAATAAAAAAAGCAGACTAAACTAAACTGAGACTATCACATGAAGGTGTAGGCAGAATCTTGGAACTATTAATAAACAAAGTGAAGATTTTTGGCTTTTTTTTTTTAATTGTCTTGAGATTATACGAGGAACAAAAGTATACATAGTACATATACTTAATTGACACATGATCTGATCAATGAAAATTTACTTTCTCTAATGATATCTTTATATGTCATATTCCATTTCACGTTTATTCAAAATAATACAATAATAAAATTGGTTATTATCTACCAACTTACCCCAATATTATATATGAAAAACAGACTTTTTAATCCAGAATATCAGTTTAAGGAATTACTTTTATGCTCATCTGCCAGGAGTTTGAACAAAATTAAGAACATCAGTCTGCCAAATATTTGTGTGTGTGTGTGTCCTACTTTTAATTAATCTCAGTCACATTAAACTGGATGAGGGGGAAAAAAATGCCCTTCAAATTCTTCCTATGAGGCCTATTGTCCCTGTACTCTCTTGATCTGGACATATGTGGCTTTATTCCAGTTTCTTCTTTGTAGGTCTCTCTGTCTCTTCAAATGGCTTACTAGATAGGACCCAATACAACTTCACTGGCCTTCTCTTCCATGTGGTCTACATTTATTTCAAAGGAAACACATATGCACTGTTGTTCCTGAAGTCACAGGGAGTGTTGGCCAAGCCTAATATAGTACCATTCACTTGCCTTTGCTCTAATTTCCCAGGAGAGATTCAGTTCCTGGCCCCCTGACTTTCCTTGCTTGGAGAAAGCAAGCTCTCTGGGTAGCTTCTGTAAAATCGTCTTATTAGCTTGAAAATAGAAAGTGGCTGCTGTCGCCATTTCCCCAAGAGGACTCTTAACGTGGTAATGGTTCTCTCCAAAGAAATGGTCACTTTTTTATAGTCCTGCAGTGTATAAGACTAGACAAGGATCTTGAAATAGGTTTCTTTGAAAGTCTGCATAGCAAATTTTAGAATTTCACTTTGGAACTTTTATCTGTTGATCTTGGTGTTAGGGTAAAACTTGAATGTTAACTACTATTTCCAATTGTTAAAACAGTATTTATCATCAGAAACAAAGAAAGTAGATAAGAGAAATATCTTTCTTTGGAGTCTTCATGATTCAGCATTGGCATGTTCACTTTAATGGTCTGATTTAATCATTACAGCAAATGTGTGGGATTAGGAGTATTATTCCCAATTTACAGAGAAGGAAACTAAGTTTCAAAGAGTACATTTTTTAAAGTCATACAGAACGGTCTGATGGAAAGCTTCTGTTTTTCCTGCTACACCACTACAGGTAAGACATATGCATCTAATTACCAGTGTCAGACTAGAACTGCCAGATCTGTTTTTAGTCACCTACCTTTTATAGATTTGGATATAAAAATGAGGTCATTTCTATTGGTGATGATTTTGAACATAGTGTTATAACATCTTAACATTGGCTGAGTCTTTAAATATAATTTTTTTTTCAGACAATAGATTTTGAAGGTTTCAAGCTATTTATGAAGACATTCCTGGAAGCTGAGCTTCCCGATGATTTCACAGCACACCTCTTCATGTCATTTAGCAACAAGTTTCCTCATTCTAGTCCAATGGTAAAAAGTAAGCCTGCTCTCCTTTCGGGTGGTAAGTTTAATTATTTACTTAAAAAATCTATATACAGTAAAAACCCCAAAGGGAAAATCAATATCAAGTTCTTTATAAGAGAAGAGCTGATTTGCTTAAAATTCATCTTTGTTGCAAGATTTATACTTTCATATTGAATCTGTAAAGTATTTAAAATGTCTCCAAAATAATAAATCCTAAACATTAGATAAAATATACTTTATCTTTATCCATCACTTGTCATTTAGTGTTTTAGAAGTCTGTGTTTAGGTAATAATTTTAAATGATACTTTCATCAAATAAGGAAAAGTGGTCTTTTAAATGATTGAATTATATATATATATGTGGCTATATATATATGTAGCTACAAAGCAGTTATGTCTAGACAACATTTAATGTCAGTTGTGGAAATTATCAATATACTTTCACATTTTTATGTTTGTAACATCAGAAAAGTGTTTTAATTTTTCTCTTGGATACTTAATTAAATTTTTGTCACCATAGTGGTGATTAGAGCTTTCATTATGTGTAGCTCTTTAGAGATGACTAATCCATTAATTAATATCTGTTGCTAATTTTATCAATCTCCATCCATTCAGGAAAATAGAAATCTATGTGAGATAGGAAATTGGTTAAACAGTATTGGAGTGCTGAAAAAGCACAAACAAACATTGAGATAATGCAGAGGTAGAAGCACATGATGCCCTTAGTTTGGAATAATCAAAACCCAGAAGCTTAAAGGAAGGACCTCTTTGAGCTGAGCTGCAGAGTTCTGAGCGGGTAGAGTGTTGTTTGGCAGATCTTGCCCTTAGATGTCTGTGAAGGGGATACTTCTTGGCTGGTGTTGGTAGCTCAGAAGCTCAAGGAAAGGCCTGCACCTTGGATATCAGACTTCTTCAAAGAATCATCATGATCCGTGCAGGACCCTGTCACTGGAGCTCACTGTGCCTTTCTCGGTGTGGAATAAGCAGAAACTAGCCCCTTGTCTTTCCTTCCTTCTAATGTCTCTGTAGTGCCCCCTTGAATCCCACAGGTTTCTAGTTGGCAAGGGGGAAATGTAGTCTATAGCAGTGTTTCTCAAACTCTTTGATCTCAGGGCTTTTTTGGGACCTTAAAAAATTTTGAGGACCCCAAAAAGCTTTGTTTATGTGGGTGACATCTATTACTATCTGCCATTATTAGAGATGAGACATTTTAAAAATAATAATGAGCAACCCATTGCATGTTAACAAAAATAACGTATCTTTATGAGAATGACTTTTTAAAAAATGTTTTGAGAAGACTGGCATTTTTTTATTACTATGTCTTTATGTCTGGCTTCATGGAAGAGAACTGTCTTCCTGCTTCTGTGTTGCCATATGTCATGTAGCCTCTTGGAAACACCACTATGTACTCATGAGAGTATGAGAGTGAAAAAAGCAAATGATATCTCAGAATCATCGTTGAAAGTGTTTTGATTTTACAAATCCCCTGAAAATGGCCTAGGGAATCCCAAGGGAGCCACTGGTCCAGAAATTTCCAGCTCAAGCATCACAAAGTAGAATATCGAAATGTGTGTAAAGCAATGAGAGGAAGTTCAGTAACTGGCACTCTGGTAAATAAAAATTTAAAACCTATAATTGAGAAATAGGTGGTTCAGGCATAAAGAAAATGGGCAATTTGATGAAAAGTCCACATTATTAAGCCTTATGTTGTGCTGCCTCCCCCTTCTGTTAATGAAATATATTTTCCCTAGAGCAATCAGATGATGGTCCAAGTTAGTTTTAAAACAAGTATACACCACCTTCCACATGATATATTTGATCCCTTCAAATTCTGTAACAATTAGTATTTATCCTTAACTTTAACCATATAATATTTTTTAGTTCCTAAAATAATTCCTCTCATATCATGAATTGATTGAGAGAACTCACATTTGCTGTTTTTCTCTGAATGAGTTCCATTTGGTGTGTCCTTAAAGTGTGATGTCAGAGCTTACCAGTGTTCATGGCTGATCATTTTAAAGTGAGACAATTGCTTATAGTGATCTAGAAATTAAAACTTCCCACTTCTCCATTTCATGCTTTAAATGGACTGCACCTTAGACTGAATAAAATAACAACAGTGTTCCTTATTTAATTTTACATGAAGTGATACTGGCTTTGGGTTTTGAGAATGGAAAGGGGGAAACATTTTTTGATATGTTTACGGTCTGAGCAATTAACGTCAGAAAGGATAGAAAACATAAATTACTTAGTGTTCCCAGAAATTCAAATCTCAAACCTTCTTTTTTTTCAACTAACATATAGAACTACATAAGAAATGCCAAATTTATGAGGAATAGAAATCAAATCAGGTTTCAAAATAGAAAAAAATAATAAGGAATAATAGCTCGTACTTCATTTGGGACAATCATGTATTCTGCACAGACCTACTTGAAAGGAATTGTAAGAGAGGCTATGTAACCTTTATGCAGCAATAATAAACTGTGATTCCTTTTCAAAACTTGGCCTCCTTATTTAAAAACATAAGTGCACAGTGTTCTTTGTAGGATTGTTTCTAACCCTGCATACATTTCAGACTTAACCTTTGATTTTTTTTTTCTTTCTGGGTAATATGAAACACTAGACAACAATAGACTTTTCAAGGCCTGGGGTATCCTTGACTTGGAAACCGAAAAATAAATGTATTTTTATTTCTAGAACATTGCTTTGCAATAATCTAAGTCATCTACATAAGATGTATTTGTGGTTGGAAATCACGAATAACTTTTGAATAGAGAAGTGCTATAATCTGCTCTGTTTATCCCCTTTTACAGTTCACCATATTTCACTTCCATAATCTTATTGGGAATATGGTAGCTATTCTTGACTCTATATATCAACTGAATAATAAAGCCTTCTCAATAAAAAGTAAAACTAATAATGAAAAAAAAAACTCTTCTTGTTAATGAATGATAATCAAGTATAGGAGATATGGTAAGAGTAAAAAAATAGTTTTTATAGAATAAAAATTTTAAATAATTATAAATGAGTGTAAAGGTTGCGTGTGTAGATGTATTTTGTTGAGCTTATAATACCTAATGATCCATCTGGCATTTTGTGTAGTGGATGATTTATTTTTTGGAACATTTTGTTGCAATGTAAGTGTGTCTTATCACCTATTTAAGTATAAGGTGATTACTTCTACTGTTCCTATGTTGGACTTTTAATATTTAAAGATATTCCTAATGTACCATCTTTCTCATAATCTCTTCTTATTTATTGTAAATGTCAGTTTCTTAATTTCTCACCTATCTCTGCTAGCCCAATGACCAACTTCTTATCCTACCTTTACCCCTAAAATCTATCACTTGAACTACTCTCTTCAGAATTGTTCATACATTTAGAAACTTCGTTTTTCTGCAAGTGGCTTATAAACTCTTAATGATGAATCTATACTGTGATCTTGTATTTCAGTTCCTATAACTTGAACACTGAGCTTAACCAGGGAGAAATTTCATAAATATGCAGACTGTTGCCACTACAAGTTCCTAACACCTACTATTAACATGGCTTTAACACCTCTTCAGTTTAAAAAAAATCTATTATAAAATGTATTTATTTTTGATATTTTTAGCTAAATCAATTGAGTTAAACTTCTAAAAGCTTTTTTAGGTTATTCACGTCTTTCTTCTTTCTTAACAGATGACATTTTTTTCACATCATACAAAAATGCCTCAATTATTCCCTGTACAACCCAGAACATTTACTTCATCTCACAGAATATTAGCTATATTCTTGATGGAGATCTTCATCTGGACTCCTTCATAAGGAGTAAAATTAGATGTGTCTGAAAGTCAAATAATTATATTCTACCCAAACCTGCTTCTATTCCTATCTCCTCTCTTGGTGAATAGAACCCAAGTATCTATTAATTTTCCAACTCTAAAATTTTTGGATTCTTCCTGCTCTACAGTGCCTCATGTTTTGCTAATTACAAAATGCTTTCTATTATTCATGATAACTTCTCACATTCTGCCAGTGTCAGTTTGATTCATCATTGTTTGTATTATAGACCGTCAATTAGCATGGCTCCCAATGGGCCCTGACTTCCCATCTCCAAAATGTTATTTCTCACACAGAAGCTTAATTATATTAAATATATTACTCCAGGGTTTCCAAGTTTCAGGACTTTACTGTCATCTCGTGGAATGTTTTTTAAACTTTTATTTAAAACCAATTAAAGCAGAGTTTCTTTGGTGAAGGGAAGGGGTGCAGGGGAGATATGAGTACAGGAGTCCTAGTCACTCTGCCTTTCCCCCTCTTTTTGAGGTACCCCTTTTGAAATCCCCTTAATGAGACCACAGGTCCTGGGCAGGGCCATGAAGAAGATGATAAAATCTGAGTTCCACAGAATTAAGCCCAATGCCTTGTAGTTTATAGAGTCTGCCTATAGTCCAAAATTCTGTCTCCTTACCCCATGTACTCCTGATGCTTTTCCTATCCAACTGTTGGCTGTGACTTAAAAATGCTCTGCTTACTTAGAACTCTGTACTTTTCTGAATGATCTTTCCTTTTCCCTTTTAACAAAACCCAACTACTTCAGCCTCAGCTAATGCTTTACCCTAAGTCATTAGTATATGCTACGATGAATGCCAGGAATGCAATGATCAGTATGATGGGATACTGGAGTGTGCAACTGGGAAGCAACCCCTGGATCCCTTGTAAAAGTCACACCATCTGCCTCTTGTAGAATAGCTAGTTTCACCTTGCCCCTCCCCAACTCTCAGGTGCCAACTCAGCACAAACTCTGGGAATTAATTACCTTTAGCTAAATTATCTTTCTTTTTGTATAAGGTAGAAATTAATAGCAGTTATTAGTAACTGTTACTTTATCTAAAAATATAGTAATTAAAAGAGAATATACTATAATTTATTACTGGCTCAGACACCAATACTATATATTCCTTTTGGGCTCTGCAATGTCCAAAATATCGATTCTGTAATAATAAATGTCCATTATTATCCATGAATTGGTGTAAGATTTTTGTCATTCTTTTT